TAATAATCCAGTAAAAAAACATATCCTAGCTTGGTCAGATGAAAAAGTCTCAGGCCGTTGGTTAAATACATGAGAACATTGGAGGAGGAAACCTTTAGATTTACCGACCTCACCACAGAAGGGCTCAGGAGGAGGTACGGGGGACTCATGGGTAGCAGATGGGACCAAAGGTACAGCACTCTGACTAGGTGGAGTTGGATTTATACTCAAACGAACATCTAGCTTGTTAGCCAAATCTTCCACCAATTGTCCAATCTGGGTTACCTGCTGTCCAAGCGTTCCTTGTGCTCCCATGAGATTCTGAAGCATTTGATGATGGCCGGCGAGAAGCGAATCATGGCTGGAGAGTGTATGCTCCATCGGATCCGTCGTTGCTGGGTCCATGTTTGGCCAGATTGTACTGTTATGTCGAAAGGATTGAACCCAAATGCACCGGACGGTTAACAGGATTTATTGACAGTTGAATGAAGGTAGAACAGGTGAGCAGGAACTGGAATTGGCTTGGACACTGGAGCGGAATGGCAGAGGAGATACGGGTGAGGGGGCTGGCAACTGGCACGAAAATCTGTGAGCATAGAGAAACAGGATCAAAACGGGGATATCAAAAACTAGCACAAAAATATAGTGATGTGCTGAGCGGACCGAGTCTTCGAAGCGTGGACCGAGTAATCTGGGGGCGTTTCTTGTGAAGTGTGGGTCGAGGCGTGTATTGGTCACGTGTGTGGTGACGTTCGAAGCCTCGCGTAGCGGCCGCACCACGTGACGGTTCATATAGTGCTTCATATAGTTCGGAGAGTGCATTGCTTTGACAGGTGCTTTGTGATCCGCGGCTGTACCATAGACTGTATGGCTGTCCCCGTCTGCCTACGTGTGTGTGCGTACGTGTGTGTGCGTGATGTGGAGCAGTCCTGTACTACTTCATATGAAATACAATTAAAAACGTTTCACTTTAGTAAAACCTCATATATCAAGGCTTCAAGTTATTAGTAATAATACGCTGGATAATACATTTCACAACAGCTGTGTGGCGCAGTCGGTATATGACGGACTCCGAAGCAGAAGATATAGCGTTCGAATCCCGGTCTACCCATAATAAATTTTGTGTTGCAAAGTAAATGTATTTATTTATTGGGAATAAATGGTTTGTTGTGTTTAATTAATCCACCTCTTGGTAGTTTTTCCTCCATTAATCACTTTCTGTAGAACTGTATTACTTTGGATGTGTTTGTTGTATCAACACAATTGACTGAAAGACTCAAATAGTTCATAGTTCATGAAGCATCATTTCAAACACAACACGTTAGACCATAGATTGTAAATATACATTTTAACATTAGATCTCACCATTCATTGTAAGCACTTAAGAGTGTTATGTATTTCTTTGTCCACATGATGGCGTAGTGGAGCATGATTCACCTTGAGCCTTCGACTCATGGGCCGAGTAATAGGCTGCTATCCCTCAAGGCTTCATGGGGCTTCATATTGCCATCACTACAAAAATAGCAAAAGCCTTGGGTGTAGCCTCACGGTGTAGACTGACGATCTGGCAGAGGACTGAAGAAATGCCCAGGTTTAAATGCAGAGCTGATGCATGATGAGGAGCAGGTGTGCAGGCCAGCCAGGAACAGAGAGCAGGAATGGTCACGCCCACAGTAGCAGGAACAGGAGGGAGGGGGTGAGGAGCTCACAGGGAGCTCAATACCATAACAGGTACCATCTGATGGCTGCCAGACAACTAGACCAGACCTTACTGTACATATACAGTAATGGGTAGTGATGGGTTGATGAAGCTTCATGAAGTGTTGAACCTTTTCATCCATTGGTTCGAGAAAAGGTTCATTTCTTGATGCTTCATATGCTCACAAACCTCCTGTTGGTCAAAATCTGTATTGACAATTGAACTGTTTGTGGGGCGCTTGGTGCATAGGAATTAATACTGGTTACAGAAATAAAAATGTAATTTGATTTTGTATGACCCATTAATTCATCTGTTTCATTATGATCAATATCAGTAGTGAAAATGAATATATTTTAAATGACAATAAAATATAATGTACTGGTAACTGGTACAGTTGTCTGCTCTAATACACACACACACACACACATACATATATGTAGATATATATTTATATACATATTTAATGATGAATGATTATAGCTTTTCAAGTCAAAATCAATGTTATAAATCCAATGGGACAAAAAACATGTTGAAAGTGTAAGTGCTTTTCAAAGGACGTGACACAAATGGGGATATCATTTGGGATTGTGACCCCATCAGTTGTTTAAAACCAAAACATTTCTGACAAAATTCTTTCACGTGTATTTACATCGACGCACTCCCGGTGAGATTCGAACCCCGGTCTCCCAGGTCCCAGCCCTACTTCCCTATCAATTGAGCCAACCAGCTTGTCCACAACCCTCTCCATCACTGACTACATTAATCACCAAGACAAACACACAGTTTGAGCGGATCTTCTGCAGTACTTCATGAATCGCTCCATATCCTGTGCTCCCGAGGCTTCAAACGTCATTAGTGACGTCACTCATCTAAAACAACTCAGGCTTCGGCCCGCGCTCCGATAAAAACTTCAGGGATTTCTCGGCTCACGCCCCGAAGCGCCGACGCGGCACGACCCATCACTAGTAATGGGATGATACCATCGTGGGTACATCTGATAGCCATTGTTCTGTATTTGTTTCTTTATATATTGCTGCTAAATACTGTACTGTAATTCTGTGTTTCACTTTATACCAGTAATTTGCACATTCTCCATTTGCTGCTAAATGTAAATTATATTGTGTGGCTTGGGATTGTAACTACAGTATGTTGGTGATTTTTTATTGAACTGTATTTTAACATGATTGTCTGTTATATGATTGTATTGTCAAGGACTACAGATAGAAAGAAATCTGCTAAATCTGGTGCCATCTTTTAATGTAACTGCACATTGTCCTAAATAATGATGACATTAAAACTTCCCCACTGTGGGACTATCTTATCTTAAATTAAACTTAAACTCACCCTGGCTCCTATTGACTTACTCACTCCTTATATATACTCCTATATGGTTTTACCTTATGGCATTGTGATACTATTATTCACATATGACAAAATCAAGCGTTTTAATCTCTTAAGTGATTTCCTGCCCTCGTTGTCACCCATGTCCCATCAGGCCCTGCTCCCTATGCTTCGTCATGTTCCCAATCTGTCCCTGTTGGCTCCGTGACCCCCTGCATCAGCACGGGTCACCGCCAACCCCTGCCACGCACACCTCGGACAATAATCTAATTAGGTATCAATGAGGTTCCCTTGTAATGGCGGTTTTATAACGGGGATGATGGGGAAAGGGGGGGGGGGGGGGTGGGGGTACAGCTGGTGGTGCTTAAAGGGAGGGATAGTCTCTGTGGTCACAATGTGTTCTGAGGGATGATGGACAGGGACGACAGCTGGGAGAAGGTTAGCCTAATCGTGCTGTTTTAGTAGGAGCGGGCAGCAGGGACTCAGCATAAGCCTTGGATACATCAAAACTAATCACCGGTTTCAGATTTCAGGTACATATGCATTATGAGGACCTTTCCCACTTCAAATGATACAATGTTTAGTTTTTAATACAGTCAATTAATTTAAATATATTCTTGTATAGCCCTAAATCACAGCAGAAGTTATCTCGGAGGACTTTATAAAACCATTGATTCAACAACACAGATCTAAATTACGTCCAGTCAAGCTCAGGGAGTGTGGCTGTAGTCAAGGCAAATGACCTTATTGTAGGTCCAATTTATTGTAATAGTAATAGTATATATATATATATATATATATATATATATATATATATATATATATATATATATATATATATATATATATTTATTTTTTTATTTTTTTTTCAGGAATCATGTGTATGAGGTGTCACAAACAACAAAAGAAAACTCCTAATAGATCTTGGTTGGGTAAATAGGCTTTTAATTTTCAAAAAATTAAAATGTGAGCTTGCTTGGCCAACACCAGAATAAATTCAATTAAATTCAGTTCCAACTTTAGATTCAATACAATTCACGGTATTTTTGTATAGCCCTAAATTACAGCAGTAGTTACAGTATCTCAGAGGATCTTACATAACCGTTGATTCGGCAACACAGATCAGAGAATCAAAAAGTTCAAACACAAGAAATGCAATGATAAAAACACATTGGTCCATAAGGGGCAGATGACCAATGTTCATTAATGTTGATTAAGTCCATAAACATTGTTGATTGTCAGTGTCCTGGAACATCACCACTGTCCCTAGACCCTCCTGCATCGTCATGGAAAAACTGTAGACATGTTTTCATTTATCATCATTCAGAATTGATTTTAGAATTGGCAAAAGCACCATCAAAGCACCTAATCTTCAAGCCACCAAGAAACTGGTTCTATTTCTGTTTTTAGGCTCTGTCACAGCCTTAGATCAGCTTTTTCAAGCCAAAAAGTGTAAAAGAAGTCCACACTCACCCAAACATTCCGATATCAGGTCATATACTGCAACTTCCCGTTGTGTGTGTAAATATCAAAAAGGTGGTTACAAAAGTTTTGAAATATAGCACTTTAAAGGTCATTGTATTGGCTGGCAGACACAATTCATAGAGGTAAAGGCAAAACATGAGTGGTACGGCCATTTGAAACTCTCAAGGCAAGCAAGGCTAGTTTATTTGTATTGCACAATTCATACACAAGTTAACGCTATTAACAAAACAAGACACAAGGCATTAAATTCATAAATAATCACTCGTTTTTAACCTGTTACCCACACACACCTACACGCGCACACACACATACACAGACAGACACAGAGACACACACACACAGGCACACTTACTCTCTCAACCCTCTTCCTCTCAAAACAGTCCCACACATATGTATTTTTTTGGGGTTACTTTTGCACCTGTAATTTGTGGCTGTGATCATTTCCAAGCAGGAGCCTCAACCCAAACAAACAGGTGCAGTCAGTGAGTGTGTTTGCATGTGTTGGTCCTGTGTGGTGTTAGCGGAGGAGCAGGTGGGGGGAGTCCTGGGGCTAATGGGTCAGCTCTATTTAGAACGCTCTTTTACAGCTCTTTAATAAACCTCTGACCTGAAAGTGGACTCATGTGTCTGCATGCGCGCACACACACACGCACGCACAAACACACACCCACATACATCTACTGTGCCGGGGATGTTCTACTGCAGGGGTGTCAAAGTCAAATACATCAGAGGGACAAAAAATCTAATTTGCCACAAGCCGAGGGCCGGACTGGTTCAATGTTTATTAAAATATATTAAAATGATTGCATATAATTTATTGAACCAAGGCCTAACACAGTGTACCGTATCCTATTTAATGATTAAATGAATAATCCAATATTTTTGTCTGGCTCTGACAGTAATTTCAAGTTAGTACATTTTCACACAGGTCACAGACAAAAACAAACTTCCTTCAAAGAGAAAACACATGTTCTGAAAATTAAATGAATAATCCAATATTTACTCAACTCTCCGTGCGGGTCGGTTCTAATACTGATCAACTAACGTCCCAGGGGCCAAGATGATTCATTTGCGGGCCAGATCTGGCTCCCGGGCCTTGACTTTTGACAGCTATGTTCTACAGAGTACTAATGTGAGCTGTCCTATATGGTTTATTCTAGTTCGTACAATATCTCTGTCTTTGTTTTATCAGCGGGAACAGGTTCAAAACGCATCACTGTCACTGTATGAAAACGCAGGTTGTGTCATGGTGTGGATGTTATTTGTGTTTCACGCAATAAAAAAATTGCAAAAGGCTGGGGCGGATAATCAACACAGGGGAACAGGAAGTCAAACTAAAACAAAACCACAGAACAGAAGTCGAAATAAAACGAAGTACACAAATCAATAATCAACAGTAATTGTGTCTCTCTGAACACAAGATCACTAAAGAACTGTCTGTGCAAAAACTTTGAAAGATTAGATCATACATCTTACCACAGCCTTATTAGAAGATGTATTTTTCATACTTGCTTTCAAAGAGCAGTGATTGATGCTGATTGGCTGAGAGCTAATTGGCTGAGTGTGGATGGTCCTCTCATTTCCACTTTTTTGTCTGAAAAAGTTGATCTAAAGATGAGGTCAACCAAGCATTATAACATAGTCTGGTGTTTTCAAGACTAGAAGGCAAAATTTAAGGTAAAATGTGAGTATAATCAAAATCTATAAAAATCATGCACCACCAAAGTAAGCTCAAGTCCCACAGATTGAGAAACCCTGCTACAGTCCCTCCTGCATTGGCCGTGCTCTTGGGTCTGGACTCGACCCCCTCTTTAACTCCATGACATAAAGTCCGCTCATGTCCACTTATGATGTGACACCGTCTTGTACCAACAACAAGGTCAAGCACAGTCTCGCGCTGCTGCCTCCACCCTCCCTCTCCTCCAGACGCTTCCTCCTCGCACAAAGCCAGAGCCGGCCATGCGTTTCTGTCTAGACATCTCCAGTGTGTCCAGAGTCCTCCGCTGTCCTCCGCTCACGTCCTTTGTCCCGTGGAGGTGGCGTCCCGCTGGGTAGGGACAATCGCCAGTCGCTGATACTTCCTAAACATGTCAGAGGGGCCCCTGGTTCTGCTCTAGGGCCCCCTGTGTGGACAACATCAGCTTATTACACTTTCATGATCTGTTCATCCATCAGGAGCTTATGTAGAGTTATTTTGAGACACTTAATGTATTTATACTTGCTGGAATGCAGACTGTTGGACAGCTTGTTTAGATATTTCACATTTTAGGTAAGTAAGTAACTCATTATTTAAAAAGCGCATTTTACAGATCAAGGTCACAGAAGGAGCTTTACAATGTTCAAAGTTCAGATATTTTTCCATTCACTCCACACACGGTGATGACAAAGCGAGACAGCGAGCACACTGCCACATCAAACACCATCCATTCACTCACTCATTACATTCAAACTATTTTTAGTGGTAGGGGATACCGGAGCACCCGGTGCAAACGCACAGAAAGGCCAGACCACTGCGCCACCATGCTGCCTATTTTATGGGCTCACTGGGAAATAATTCAGTATATTTGCCATTTGCAGTGAAACCACATTGGAATACCGGTGCAAAGACTACCATTATTACAGGCACCATGTAAAATAAAGTATAAATAAGACTTATATTTTGGACATCAAATCTTAGTTCATTCAGTCCATATATGACAGGCCAAAAATAAAAACATGTGATCGCAAGTAATAGTACTGAAAGTTGTAAGAACTAGTTTACTGGATTTCATGACACAGTTTGTGGTTAGAAAGGTCGAAATTGTTTTGTGGTGGTATACTACTACAGCCACAGCTGCCCTGGAGCAGACTGATGGAGGCGATGCTACTGATGTGCACCATGAGGGCCCATGGTCAGCATCATTACCGTCGTTAATCATTCTCTCACACATCTGATTCATTCTGTGGATTTTGTCTCAGGACACAACTGTTTACATCTGATGTTCCTAGAGGTCATCCATCCACAACATGTCCTGCACTGCTTAGCTTCTGAGATCTGAAGACATCAGGCTTTTTTTCATATGGAGGTTTTTACATTTCACAAGACATTTGTGACCAACAATAGGAAATGCTCAAAATACAGTATAAGATTATGCTTTCCTCCTATATCTTGAATTAATTCCAGTTTTAATAGACCATTGTAAACGCATTCTTCTGCTATCCCTTTGACCATAAACTGTCCTTGATATTTAGCACATTTTATAACAGAGAAAGCACCCATGTCTGTGCAGCATCCTGTTCCCCGCTGCTCAGGACAATCCCAAATCACTCACACCACCTCAAGTGTGTCCAAGGGGCCCGCTGGAGGGGCCCCTGCAGGACACCAGGACAGAGCCACTAATCATTCAAGCAGAGACATGAGAGAGGAGCAGGACTGGCTTCTGTCCAATAAGGCGGATGTACCTGTCAATCACTCACACACAAAGAGGGGCGGGATCATGTGGGTCTCATGTTAGAGACATGTTCTTGCAGCACAGTGGCATAAACAATAACACGCTGTCACAGGTTCCAGAGCCGTGTGGGGGCCCACAGTACAAGTCCTGGGTTCTAGGACCACTCTGACATGACCAGTGCTGTGGCAGGACTATTCTTCAGTTGGTATTATGTGTGAAACCCGCTCCCATGGGTGATTGTTGCGGTGTGTTCTTGGGCAAGACACGGTGGCTGAGTGGACAGCACTCTTGCTTCTCAGCAAGAATGTCCTGGGTTTGAATCCCAGAGTTTGCCCGTTCTTCCCGTGTTTGAATGAGGTATGAATGTAATGGATGGAGGCTTTGATGCCAGTGTGTTTGGCGTCTTGCACCTCTGAACATTGTAAAGCGCTTTGGGTGACCTTGGTCTGTAAAAATGTGCTACATAAATAAAGATAAGTTACTTACTACTGCTAAAGACAAAATATATTTTTAAAAAAAATGTCTATCACAAGTTGGATCTTAGTCACCTGGCAAGGACCAGATTGATATTGTGTAAAACTCTTGAGTAGAATTATGACAAAAAAAGAATGGATGAAGGTAAGTAATTAGTGGCAGATGAGTCAACAGGCGGGTGGGAAAGGTTTGCAGTGATTTTGGGAAATATCCCTTAAGTGAGCAGGGAGCAGGGACTGGACAGGACCAGTCCAGCAGCTCTGTGCTCACTGAGCAGAGAACTGTTCCTGTGCATATCATTTTAACTGTATCTGTATTTGTGAGTGATTGTTGCTTGCTGCCGCTGAGAAGTTATGGTTAGAGCAACAAAGGAAGGTGATGTGACCCGCATCACCACAAGGGAAGGGGGGAGAGGTACTACAGGAGCAGAACATCACAGTTTAACATTACATGGTCTTCCTTACTGATCACGAGGGTCTTATGGTGCCTTCATGTGCTCTTGTAATAATGATAATAAATACCACAAGTGGGAAGTCGCACATAAACGACCCCTCATCTCGTAATTTGAGTTACCTTCAAAATGGTGGACAGTGGTAGAAACATTGCGGATACTCAGAGTTTTTTTTAATTAACACATTTTGTGTAAATTGTGTGCACATTGGTTAACTTCATCACATCAACTAATGTGGAATATTCAAATGACCGCAGGATGTTCTGGGACAGTGTTGCACATGTAGCATGACGTATAATGATAGCATGATGAGAAGTTGCTGCCTCCGTGTTTGGTTTTAACGATGACAACAACAACAGCATTACAGTTCACGAGCACATGAAGGTGAAGGTGTCCTGTAAATTTCTCCATTGTAAGATGAATAAAGTGTATCTTATTTTATCTTAACGACAGTGGCGATTTTACAGTATTTACCTGTGTTCTAATTATAATAGTGCTTCACATGTCATTATTCATTCCCTCCAAGCTCAGTGATGAAAAACTAGCCACAGCTGTCCTGGGGCACACTGACAGAGGCGAGGCAACCAGTATGTGTCATCGGCCCCTCCGACCACCACCAACCATTCAAACACACATACTGCATGCACCACCGCTTTTACCTTCTGTGGGCTTTTTCAAAATGGCCACGGGGCAGGAAAATATGAAAAAAACAGTCCATAGCGGCTAAACTAGGCTGGTCCAAAAAAAACATCTGGAACGTAGCGTTGGGCCAAGAGCTGACTTTTGGACCATCCTGTAAAGCCGTTTTCGAGACGAAAGAAGGTGGCATACAAAAGCATTGGGAAATTCTCTTTCCAGGACCACCCCCACCGGCCCGGGGTGGTATTGCAAGCATGTCAACGCACATGCTCATGGACCTTTTTGAGCCAAGACCTGCCCCCACTGGTCTGAACCAACACTGTTGTGATTTTGGGCATGATAAAAAAATCATTTATTTGATCTTTTTCAAACAAAATCATTGGTTATATAACACATTGGTCCTTCAATTAAAACTTAAATTATAATTCCCCCCCCCCCCCCCCCTTTTTCTTTTACATTATCAGCTGAACACGAGTGACCTGAAGTCTTGAGGTTAAGTAATATTAGATGACTCCCACATTGTCCGTTCTCATGCTAAGGCCCTCATTCAAACGCCTCTGCATCAGTCTTATCAGCCTGTAATGAGAACACGTCTGCTAGTGCTGTGTTGCTGGGGGGGAGGTCCCGCCCTCTGTTACCCCCTTTCACTCCAGAGGGGCCCCCCGACTCAAAAGCCCCCCTCCCCTCACAATACAGCCCTCTTATTTCCCGTTATTGACACTCCTAATTGTTTCCAGTGTCGGATAAAGGCCCTGAAAGCGCCTCGGTATCAGCAATAACCTTCTGTCTACGTAGCATTGATTCTAACGGCGAAAAAAACGGCAGCACTTTTTCTCATTCCGACGCCGTTCGCAAAGCCCTGCGGACGTCATCAGGGATGCCCATATTTTCATTTTGTTTATTAGTTTTTGTTATGCAAGGCGCCTTATTGTTGTCTTATTAATTACGTACGGGGATGCGAGTCTCCAGACACGCTCCTTTTGATATTGCGCGAGCCATAATTAAACGATTTTACTGTATTAGCGGCGAGTGTGCTAGCTGGTGCCCGTCAACAAGCAGAGATTGTGTCTAAATCCCATTTCAACTGGTGTAATTAAAGGTATTCGCTGGTCGGACGTAAATTGGCCACTCACCGCGTGGCTAGATACGGTGTATACAGTATATTCATGCGATTGAAAAGAGCCTCAAAGCAAACGAATTAGTTATTTATGAGCGCTGGTAATTATGGCACGGTGCGCTTGCAACGACAAAAGGAATTGTTTTCACAGACGTGGATAACAGAGTTTTAACTAAAGCATCGTGATGAGATTGTCAATCAAACTCATTTTGATGTGAGAAGAACTTCTATATCTTATTTGTGGAAACAGTGTTGGTCATCTCACTTCACAACAGTTTCTGATTACATCTCCCCAAAAGTAATTGTGTTAGTAACTGTGTCACTGCAGAGAAAAAAATCGCACTATTTCATCTATAAATAACTGCACTGCGCTTACAGCAACAACCACCTTAGTCTATGTACGCAGATGCAGATACAGCAATTTGACAATAACCACTGATATCAAAACATATCAAGACATATACTGCTACATGTTCATCAAACCCCAAACAAATCAATCGCTGCACTTAGACTGAAAAAATAAAATCCTGATCTCGTAAGGATCCTTGCAAGTTTCGGGATGTAAAAACGCACCAATGACCAATGAAAGGAGAGGAACGTACTCTGGGCACTGCGTCTAGTTGGTCTGTCGTAACGTTTTTCCGTTTGCTTAACTCAGGGGTCGGCAACCCGCGGCTCTTTAGTGCCCCTTGAGTGGCTGCTGGAGCCTATTTCAAAAATGTCTGAAAATGGAGTGGGAGGGGTATATTTTATTTCTAGTTTCAATGTGGTTTCTGTAGGAGGGACAACATTCTTAACGTTTTCCAATGCAATAAAAATTTGCATAAGAAATATTTCTTTTTAACATTTGTGTCAACTGAGATTTGCGTCATAACCTTCGATGCGCGGTTATGGCCCCGTGCCGGGCGGTCACTGTTGTAAACAAACCGGCGTGTGCCACATG